CAGGGCGCGGGAGGTTCCGGTAATCATGTACTTGGAGACGTTCTCGATATCTCTCAGCTGGGTATCTGTGTAGTCGGCCGACATGGCCCCCATGTAGGCTGAAGTCGAGCTGCCTCGCATTCCGTTCAGGGTAAGTCCTGCATTTTCCATGGCTTCGTACACTGTCTCAAGCAGGAGCCTTTGTTGTGGATCGATCGATTCGGCTTCGCGCGGTGCAATACTGAAGAATCCCGCATCGAAATACCGCGGATCTTCCTCAATGAAGTACGCATTGCTTGCGTTGCTAGCTCCATGATGTTCACCGTCGACATTGTAAAAACCCTTGGGGTTGAACCGTGACTCGGCGGGCACTTCTCTCGTGAGATCCCGCGGTGAGTAGAGCAAATCCCACAACTTCGAAGGAGACGTCGAATCACCGGGGAAGCGACACCCGGTGCCAATGATGGCAATAGGCTCTTTTGGTGAATGTGTATAGACCATTGCGCCTAAGATGGAGTGCAATAGTATTGTAGGGTTGGCGAAATGTGTGCCAGGATGGGTATGTAAGGTCTTTTGTTGTCGTTCTAGACCTTAGGCTACTAACATGGGATTAGATCGCATATTGGACGCCTATTAGGGCCAAACCGCTGTGTATAGCAGGAGCCTCGATCGTTGTATGTTCACTTTCGGCCGTCCGACGGCCGATACGATTGGTGGCATCACAACCACCGAATTCGGGATGGGGCTATCAACTCCAGAACCGAATCAAAATGCCAATAGAACAACACCATTTCTCTGTAATTCAGTTACGGCGCACCCGCCTTTCTGGGTTGCATAATTCAGCTAAGGTAACCGCAATGTGTACGAGTAGAATAGGCACTTGTTAGTGGGAAAACACGATTCTCAACTAGACATCGTTCTCGCGTCATACATCTCGATCCTCGAGTTTCTTGATAAGGGGCATTGCTTAGATATACTAGGGAAAAAAAAGACAATATGGCAACTATACACAAGCTATTCAAGTCGCCCTTCTTCGATTTCGAGTTCCTTCGCCTACTGGCCATGGCGCCACATGAAGGGGCCGAGATCGGAGAGGTGCTGGAAGCAGCAGCCAAGATCAAGGACCAAGATCCAGAGTCATGGTATAGCACCCTTCTCGAAACTGGTAGCAAGGCGGAAGCCATCGCAAAAGAAGCTGAGGCCGCTGGAGATCGTGTCGGTGCGCGACGCGCGTACCTGCGATCCTCCAACTACCTTCGCGCAGCGCAGTTCATGCTCAATGAAGGCCCTATCGGACATGACCAAAGAGTCCTTCCCACTATTGAACGAGCCATTGCCAATTTCAGAAAGGGCGTCCAGTATCGTGATGGAAAGACGATCTTCTTGGACATCCCGTACGAGGACGGAAAAACGTTGCCTGGGTATCTCTACCTGCCTCCCGCCTTCCGGCGAATCCCTGGTCGCAAGATCCCCATCCTGCTCAACTCGGGCGGAGGCGATTCGACTCAGGAGGAAATCTATTTTGTCAACCCAGCGTACGGGCCGGATTTAGGCTATGCTGTCCTCACGTTTGAGGGACCCGGTCAAGGAATCGTCCTCCGTCGCGACAAGCTGCCAATGCGCCCGGATTGGGAACACGTCACGGGTCCCGTCCTGGACCACCTCTTCGACCTGGCTGCTCGCCATCCCGAGCTCGAATTGGACCTAGACCACATTGCCGTCACTGGCGCGTCGATGGGGGGCTACTTTGCCCTCCGTGCGGCCGCAGACCCGCGGATCAAGGCATGCGTGAGCGTGGATGGGTTCTACAGCTTGTCGAGCTTTGTGGGGGGCAGGATGCCGGGGCCGCTCTTCAATGGCTTTATGAGCGGCTGGCTCTCAGACTGGATGTTCAATGGAATACTTAGCGTTCTGAAGAAACTTGAGTTTCAGGCCCGATGGGAGTTTAACCACTTGAAGTGGGCTACCGGCTCCAAGACGGATGCAGATGTTATGCGCAGCTTTGGCGCCTACACTTTGCAGAATCCGGACGGCACAGAATACTTGGCTGACGTGAAGTGCCCGACACTGGTGACGGGAGCAGGGGCAAGCTTCTACTTCGATCCAGCCACGACGACAGACAAGGTCTACGAGTGCTTGACGAGTCTGAAAGACGGCGTGGATAAAGAGAAGTGGATTGCTACCGATGTAGCCTATGGAGGCCTCCAGGCCAAGATTGGTGCGTTTGGATATTCGGCACAGAAAACCTTTGAGTGGCTCGACCAGCAGTTTGAAATTGAGAGGGAGCCTTTGACGGCCAGCTCGAGGTTGGAAGACTTGGTGACCAGTTTGTAGAGAGTCAGCGTTTGATGATGGCCACCAGATAAGAGAAGTTCTTTTAATCATGTTCCAAGAATAATACGCAGTGAATTCCGTACCCTGGCTCCTGGTTTTTGCCTATACACTTACCCACGGGTCTAAAACTAATCATACTTGTCCATAATCTTCCCTTGTAATCATTCGTAGGCAATCGTCTTGAATGTTTTTACTACCCTCCATATCTCTCATACTGTCGGTATATATAATACATTTTGGAAGAGTCTAATATACCGTAGCCTATTGTTGTCGCAATCCTTAGCACCTATGGCCAAAAATATATGTTGCTCAAAGTATTTCTGAACATGGCCCGCCAAAAATACGTGAGATTCATATATAGGACACAAGGGACTAGACTGGGAGCGCCAGATACAGTAGGAATGACCGTTTGAGTGTCTCTATATATACTTCCAGCTATTCTTCGGATATGTAGGTGGCAGAGTAGAAGCACTTCTCTTGTTCTTGACATTGCCCTACTGGGTACTAATCACGTGACAATACACGCATTACGAGCTTAGTCGTATTCACCCTCAGGTGCAGCAAATAGATTACAAGTAAATTACCAAAACACCACTCTATATTTCGTTCTGTACCTAAAACACACGTATTTACTCCGTAAGTAGAGACATGGGTGAACCCAAGTTGGTCATGGGTACGGGCCGTTCCATACCCAACTCTAAGCCTGATCTGCAGCTAAGTCCCACGCCACTTTATTGACAATATCAAGGTCCAGTTCCACCGTACGGTTCGACAACAGCCAAACCCTAAGGAAGCTCGCCTCTCAAACGAGGGAAGATGGGTAGTATGTTACTACCAAGAAGCCAAAACTGTATCGTTGGTCAACGGATATGGATAAGACGTACATACGGAGAACAGGATTGACCTACCCCATACCAGCAATAAGAGACATAATCATCCTTCTCGTCGTAGCTGGAGAGAAAACCGCCAAGACACCGCATACTCGTAGTAACGTATGCCAGAGTAACTATCGCTGGTGGTTCCCACAAGGCAATCAACCCCAAGGTCCACAACACCGTCATCACGGCCAGTGACCAGCGAGCTACAGGCTGGGACAGCAGTAGTGGGATTGTTTTGCGGCCCCGTGTTGTATCGGCGGTGCGGTCACGGAAGTCTTGGGCATGGCCCTAACCAAGTGTGATAGCTATATTAGCATGGAGTTGCTTGGCTGCCGGGACAACTCACAGTAGTAGCGAAAATGGCAGCTATCATCAGTACTGCGACGGCTTTCAGTCCATGTAGCTCTTTACCGCCATCTGACAAACGTGGTCGGTCAGCATGTAACCTAGCAAAAGCAGGCACATTGTTAGAGCCAATACCATAGATGATCGTGGTCCCCCAACAATAGCAACCGAGACCGATAGCTCCGATGAAGTTCTTTATTACCGGAATAGCGGCCAGCCCTCCCTCGTTGTATACTACTATGGCGATCGAATAGACCAATGTGCACGAGATCGTGTTTGTGTATATGGCGGCAATCCACATCAGTAAAAAGAGGACGCGATAGAGGAGGGTAGCTTGTCTTGGTGTGATCCTGCCAGAGGGCAAGGGTCGATGGGGCTTTGCTATGCTATCCTCTTCTATACCGTCGATCTGGCGTCTCTGATAAGTATTCCTTGTCGTTGTTGTCTTATTTGTCGTCACATTGCCTCACTAACCTGGTTTTTCACCTGATCATGTCAACATTTGAGTGCACTTGCTTCAAGAAGAATGCTTCTGGACGCACCTGAAACGTGAGAAGATGTAATTGATTCCACAGAAACCCCTTGACTATCAGGTAAAAGCCACATGGTGCAGCAAGCACAAGGGCTACAGCCATCTGCTCCCAGTGTTAGCCTGTGGCCTTTCCTATGCATGTGAGAGTTAGCACCAGCACATACAGAAGGTAAAGCCGCTGCGGGGATGTCAGATTTGCCGAACAGATATAATGTCTTCAGAAAACTGAAGGGGAGTTTCCCCAGCCCTAGAACACTTTCCATTTCTGCTGCAGAGTAAGTGTGCTACAACGATTGCTGGATATTGATTGTGTCACAACGGCAGAGCCTGGTGAAAATGGACTTATCTGGAACAGTGGATGGCTCGATAGGGTAGCTTATAGCAGTCAGGCCGTCAGCAATCCCCTTAGAAGGGTTCATGAGTCGCGCCATTCAAACAGTCAGACTCTGACCATGCCGTTTGGCAGATACCACCCCATAACAGCAGCGTCATACGCACTAGTAAGCACTATGGCACAGATTGTTAGTTCCTAGTGTCGCAATCACCTGCTCGTTCAGGGTCTTATGCCGTTATCGCAAGTTCCCCGAACATATCGGAAGCTACTGCAAGTGAGACGGAGAAGCAGGCAGAGTATTGCGTTTCACTTGACATGGACAGTGATAAGGCAATATCCGCCGTAAGGCCTACTCTAAGAGAAACAGGCTCGCAAAGACATGACGGCCAGCCCTAGATTGATTCCTACGGAAAACCTGATTCATTGGTCGGCTTGGTATTTTTTTTTTTTTCGGTAATGCTCCTTAAGGTTACTTCCGAGCCTTGAGGAATTCGGATGTAAGCAGATCTTTTTGGACGCTGGACTCAAATAACACTGAAAGATCTGAGACGTAGACCTGACAACTCAACTGCCCATTCTCTAGATAGCTTCGTACAACATGGCTTTCGAACTATCTTCCCTTCAGATCAGCTGCGTGGCTTTGGTGGCCTTTCTCGTGGTGCTGGCGTTCAGAAATCGCACCAAAACTTTCACACAGAACGTCCCTCCTGGGCCAAAGCCCTTGCCGGTGATTGGAAATTTACTTGATCTCCCCTCCAAAGGCCAGCCCGAGTATCAGCACTGGTTCAAGCACAAAGATGCCTACGGTCCTGTCAGCTCCATCAATGTGATGGGGACGACGCTCGTCATCTTCCATGACAAGGATGCTGCCCACGCTGTCATGGGGAAGAAGGCCCAAAAGACATCGGCGAGACCTCAGCTCAACTTTGCTCAGCTATGTGGGTTCGAGAACTTTCTCATCACCCATCAGTACGACGACAAGTACCGCCTTCACCGGAAAATGGTTCACCAGGAGATTGGAACTAAGGGGCTCTCTGCTGGTTTCCGCCCCATTCAGGAGCAGGAATCTCTTCGCTTCATCCTACAGACGTTCAATCGGCCGGACGACATCTTGCACCACTTGAAAACGTAAGTCCCCTACGATATGTACTTGCCTTACGCACTGTCTCATGCTTTATAGTTTGGCTGCCGCCATCGTTCTGAAAATTACCTATGGCTATTCGATTGAGCGAGACAGCCCCGACCCGTTGGTTGAGTTGGTCGAGCACACCATGGAGAACCTGTCCAAAGCATTTGTGCCACTTTCTTGGGCCATTGATGCGGTCCCTGCTATCAAGTATCTTCCTGACTGGTTCCCCGGCACGTCGTACCGGAAGACTGCGCTAGAATGGAAGGCTATCAACGAGGCCGCTGCGGAACTCCCTTACGACTTCGTCAAACGCCAGATGGCACACAAAGCCCACAGTCCTTCATATGTCTCCAATCTTCTCGAGAAGCACATGGCCAAGTCGGACACTAACGAGATCAATCTGGCTGCGGCCGACGAAGAGGCTATCAAGTGGACTGCCGTCAGCCTCTATGCCGCCGGCTCCGACAGTACAGTGGCAATCATCCACAGCGTCATCTGTGGTCTTGTCATGTTCCCCGAGGTTGTCACACGGGCGCAGGAAGAGATCGACCGAGTTGTCGGCTCCGATCGGCTTCCCACTTTTGACGATAGAGATAACCTGCCTTACATTGACGGCATTATCAAAGAAGCCTGGCGATGGAATCCGGTAGGGCCCATGGGCTTGACGCATAAGTCCGAGGAAGATATCGTCTGTGGTGAATATCTCATCCCTAAGGGCTCCTATCTTCTTCCCTCTCTCTGGTGGTTTTTGAACGACCCGAAAGAGTACCCAGAGCCGCGGGTCTTCAAGCCGGAGCGCTATATGGAGCCCTTCAACCACCCTGATCCTAGTGAAGTTGCTTTTGGTTACGGCCGAAGATCTTGTGCTGGTCGTTTCTTTGCGGACGCCAGTGTCTACATCACCGTGGTCCAGCTTCTGGCTGCGTTCAACGTTCGCAAGGCTAGAGATGAACAAGGCAACGAGATTCCCGTCACTCTCGAGGCTATCCCGGGCATGGTCAATCGCCCCGCTCCCTTTGAGTTCAAGGTCGAGCCTCGCAGTCAGCACCACATCGATCTTCTTCGCCGCATCGAGTCGGAGCAGTTACCTGAGGTTAGCCATGCGAGTCTTCTCAAAACGAGTACAGTCTAGGACCAAGGTATAGATAGATGGGGGACATTCAGAACATCCTAAGATTTCCAATTCAACTCGGCGCTCGTAATTGTTGTCAAATGGTTACCATAGTTTGAGCAAATACACAGTATATGTCTAAATTTGGACCAGATCCTTATCACCTTGTTTTTTTTTTTGAATCCTTTTTTGCCTTAAAATACCATGTAAACGTCTGGTACCGGCAATCACTGCCTCTAGATCGGACTTCGGTAGCGGAGGATAATATCGGCGACCACCACATTGGGTATCGTTTACCGAACGCATGCTCAGAGCCAAGGTATCCATAGATGATAACACATCCTAATATAGCATATAGTTCGTGGATTCAGTAATGGGAGCTCTTTCTTTGTGTCCATTCATTCACCTATTAGTGGATGCGATTATCCAAAATGGACTACCCTTATCCTCAGGACCAAGTTCTGCGACAGAGTCTGCAAAACCCGGAGGAGTTCTGGTCGCGACAGGCCGAACGCCTCCACTGGCACAGGAAATCTGGCACTGCACTCCGGACAGCCCAGAGGAGTCTGCGAGATGGCACCACGCACCCGACGTGGGAATGGTTCCCCGGCGGGGAAATCTCGACCTGCTACAATTGCGTCGACAGGCACGTCGCTGCGGGAAACGGACACGAACCTGCGATTTATTACGACAGCCCCGTCACAAATACAAAGGAGACAATTACGTATGATACACTCCTTAGGGAGGTGGAGACGCTGGCAGGAGTGCTGAGAGAGATCGGGGTCAAGAAGGGTGATGTGGTCATGTTGTACATGCCCATGATCCCGGCTGCCTTGATTGGTATGCTTGCTGTCAACCGTCTGGGAGCTATCCACTCCGTCGTGTTTGGGGGGTTTGCGCCCAATGCTCTCGCTCAGCGAGTCGAGGCTTGCAAGCCTGACGTACTTCTCACTGCATCGTGCGGAATAGTTGGGAATAGACCGCCGATCGGCTACCAACAACTCGTCGAAGAAGCGATCAAGCTTTCATGCCACAAGCCGTCACACACCATCGTATGGCAGCGCGACCAACTACGTTGGAACTTCCAGGAGTCTGCATCTAGTTGGTGGAGGAATATATGGCGCTGGATACAACGAGTTCTCCTCCGTCGCCGGACAACCACCGCAAAACAATTAGCGTGGCAGGAGCTCATGGCCAACGCCAGGTCCCGGGGCATCAAAGCCGACTGCGTACCCGTTCAGAGCAATCAACCGATCTATATCATGCACACCTCCGGTACGACAGGAGCACCAAAGGGTGTGTTGCGCAGTTCCGGTGGCCACGCGGTTGGTCTACAGTTCACGATCAAGTACATCTTTAACATCCACGGCCCTGGAGACGTCATGTTTGCGGCGTCAGATATCGGGTGGGTGGTCGGTCACTCGTATATCCTGTACGCGCCATTGCTGGCGGGGGCAGCCACCGTTTTGTACGAAGGCAAGCCAGTAGGAACACCTGATACGTCTGCTTTTTGGAGAGTTGTGGAGCAGTACAAGGTTAATACCATGTTCGCGACTCCAACAGCGTTGCGGGCCATCAAGCAAGACGACCCTAGTAATATAAAGCTGTCCGAGATTGGAGGGCGTGGAGGGTTGCGATCACTACAGGCTTTGTTCCTCGCTGGCGAGCGGTCAGAGCCAACCCTGGTCTCCATGTACCAAGACCTACTGGATCAGTACGGCGGAAGGAATGTACAGGTCATCGATAATTGGTGGTCAACCGAAGCCGGGTCTCCGATCACCGGCCGAGCGATTGCGCCTCATATCGGGTTGGGAAGTGAAGTGCCGAAAAGACTAGAAATTCCTCCAATCAAGCCAGGAAGTGCTGGAAAGCCCATGCCGGGATTCGATGTTCGAGTCGTAGATGACAACGGTGAAGAAGTACCGAAAGGGTCCATGGGCAATATCGTGCTGGCCCTTCCTCTTGGGCCGACGGCATTCAACACGCTGTGGTCAGATGAGGAGAGATTCTACAAAAGCTATTTGCAAAGGTTTGAATCCCGATTTCTGGATACTGGGGATGCGGGATGGGTCGATCACGATGGCTATGTTCATGTCATGAGTCGCAATGATGATGTCTTGAACGTCAGCGCGTATCGACTATCAAGTGGTCAGTTCCAGCTTCCTGTTTGCCACTCGTCTAGTTACTGATTTCTCATGACGCATGTAGGAGCCATTGAGGAAGCCATCGCGTCACATCCACAGATTGCAGAAGCGTGCGTGGTTGCTATCCCAGATCAGCTCAAAGGTCAACTCCCCTTCGCATTCATCTCTCTCTCGGTGCCGGATCACCCAGACTCGGCCATACCAGCAGCAACCGTTGCGACAGAGGTTCAGTCACTCGTACGGAGTCGGGTTGGGGCATTCGCCTCATTGGGAGGTATAGTACAGGGCAAAGGCATGATACCGAAGACGAGGTCCGGCAAGACCTTACGGCGTGTGCTTCGGGAGTTGGTGGAGAATGGGGTCTACGGGGATTTGGATCGGAGTGTCGATGTCCCAAGTACAGTCGAGGATGCGACGGCTGTCCAAGTCGCGAGAGCCAAGATTCGGGAGTACTTTAACAAGAACAAGGGTAAGCACAAGGCGATTGAGGCAAGGGACATGGCATGAAACTGCAATATGTAGAGAACCATCTCCAGTGCAAAGCTAAGATCCTATATAATATGTGAAAAGAGCAAGCTCTTGTGCCAGAACGGTGGGGGATTGTCGGAGACGGTTTCTAGCCCAGTAATAATCTCCGGAGTCTCATCGCTCTTTCCAATGAGGATTGCTTCGGCCAATATGTGATGAAGCTCACGGTCGGAGACAAGCATATAATCCAGACCTCTCAACGTAGAAATCACCGCCTCCGAACCTCCACTGCTATCAATATTCTGGATGAAACCGAGCCCTATGATCGGGCCAAGGTTGATCACCGAGGCAGGCAGGTTGCGGGCTCGTCTCTGGGACACCAAACCGGTCATAAACTACAAAGGTGTCAGCATGTCATGACTCAGATGAACCCGGGAAGGAACTTACATTATTAGCAGCATCGTAGTTGGCTTGGAATGGCTGCCCAACCACAGCCGAGATGGACGATAACAGCAGAAAAAAGTCAAGATCATCCCTGGAGAAGACCTCATTCAGGACCAGAGACCCGTCCACCTTTGGCCTCAGTACTTCCTGTAGGTCGTCGTACGTTAGATCGGAAAAGAAACAATTCGACTGAAGCATTGCGCCGTTTGCCACACCTCCGATAGGGGGCATAGTGCTAAGAATGTGGTTGCGGAGGTTGATCATGTCTTGATTCTTGGTAACATCTGCTGCCTTGATCACAACATTGGCGCCTTGCTTTTCCAGCTCTTTTATCCAGAGTCCGTCCTTGTCGGGATTCCTATTACTGTTAGTAGCTATCCAAATCACAGCCTTGTCTGTACGCACCGGCTTGTGATCACAATGTGACGTCCACCACTCCCGACAATCCATCTGGTGATAGACTGGCCGATCTGACCGCTAAGGCCAATAAGAACATACGTCTTGTCCGGCGAGAAAAGACCCGAAGGATCAATAGGACGGACAAGGGTTCCAGACTGCTTCTCAAAGGGATCTGAAGCCTCCACTCTCCGCCTTGAACAGTTGAGACGATCGTTGCGCTTCTTGTCGAAAAGCACCCTCGGGATGAGAAGTTTCCCCCGTTGGACGGACAGCTCCGGTTCGACCGTCCACAACCTATTTGAGCTATCGTCTCTCATCCTAACGGCCCCGATGAGCCGAAGGAAGCTCTCCGCGACGAGGGTCTGGCTGCCATCAATTTGATCCAAATTGAGGACCTGCAGAACCTTGTCCGGATTTTCAGCTTGGACGGCTCGCACAAGTCCAATTGTACCGCTTTGGTGCGGGTTTAGATTTTCGGCGCTATAAGTGACCCACAAGACTGTCTTGGACCCGTTCAGCAGTTGATGCAGGCCTTGAAAGGTATCACGACTGAGACTTTCCAGTACTGACTGATCCAACTCGGTCAAGCTAAGCACAGCTTCCACTTGGTCAAGGTCTCGGCTCTTCAAGTCGGTCAGGGACCTAATTAGCATGATTTCTCCGTCCCAGACACATCCCAATCTGCTCTGGATGGCCTCAATGAATTGTTTAATCTCTTGCGTGACGCCACCTATAACAAGAAGTGTTCCGCTGGTAGTAAAGGGCGGTTTCGAGTTTAGTGGACTTGTGAGAAAGTTGACTTGATCATCGACGGCCTGTGACAAGATGACAAAAGGCGAATCCGGTTCTTGATCCTTTGCCAATGAACTAACTCCCGAAAACCCAACGCTCTGCAAGGTGTCGTGTATCTCTTTGCGGACAAATTCTGTTGCTTCTAGCGGCATGGCCTCTTTTACCGTCATCGTCATCAGTAGAAAACCCCCTGATTTTAAGAGACCTCGGATCGATTTCATTGTAGCAAACTCCTTTGAGGTGGCCTTCAGATGAATTATCAAGTCGAAAGAGCTCAAATCGATTGGGCCAAGGGCGGTGGTTTCGTCCAACCTTCCAACGTCCCGTAGAATGTCAACAACTATGAACTCGATAGCTGGGTCGTCTGACATCAAGCCCCGCCTCATATCGTCAATGGCCCTGTCCGATGCATCCGCAATCGTGTATGAGCCCATGGAATTTCCCATCGCATGACATAAAGCTTGAACCAAGTTGATGCATGACGTCCCAACTTGGAGAATTTTTAACTTTGCGTAGCGATGTGAGATCAGTCTGCTTGCCGCAAGTATATACTTGTGAGCCTGCGAAAGGCCAAGGCGCTCGTAACTGGAGATATGGTTCTCTTGCTTGAGCCCTGGCCCCGAGAGAATGTCTGGTCGCCATATCTTTTTCAAGTACAGCTGTCTGTCTTGCCTTTCTGTAGAGCGAGTTATGGGGCTTATGGTGACATTTTCGAGGCGGAATTGTAATTGCGCAGTGTCTGAACTGTAGACGTTGACATCTCCATAAATTATTGGTATCTCTGATTCATACCCGGAAGTATATTCCTGTAGGTGCGCATCGACAGTTACTGAGGCTGGTGTATCGAGGCCGAAGCATGAATTTGGAAACAATGTCAGACGACCGATCTTTGTAGGTGCGAATGCCGTCCATAATGAACCATCCCGAGGGGCAGCAAAGGCAAGTAAGAGTGTCTGGAAGCAAGCTTCCAGGATGGCTGGGTGAAGCAGAGCCGATATACTTGATGCTCCCCCGGTCGTCGGCGCGACGACACCGCATGCATAATCCATACGCCTCTCAGCAGAAGTCAAAGCTCTGAAAGGTCCACCATAGCTCAGGCCAATGTCTCTCAGGGAATCGTAAAATTGATTGATGTTCACAGGTCTCAACCCGCACGGCTTGGATGGTCTGGAGGAGGAAAACAACCCTAACTCGTGGTCCGCAAAAGTCATGCGTAACCTTCCCTTGGCTACCGTGACCGTGTTCGGATCCTGCGGGGCGCTCTTATTGAGACTGAAGTCTGCCTGGACTGTGTCAATTCCATCGATACCAGAGTCGACAAGACTGCTTATAGATAGCGAGGTCTCAATCTCCACTGAAGATGCTTCTAGTACAATCGGTCGCCCGATGGTAATGTCGGAGAGCTCGATGCTGTCTGCTTGTTTGCCATTGCTGATATCCATCGCGGCCGCAAGGGCCATGACGCAAAACAAAGCTGTAGGAATAACGGTCTGATTCTGTATGTGGTGAGCTCCCAGCCATGGCAAGTCTTCTAGCTTGAAGATGCGCCGCCATCTCGGCTCAGATCCCGTACCACCAGGGACTCGGCTCCCCAACAGCTCGTTAGGCAATTCTAGCATGACTGGTTTGACTGAATGTATCGAACAGGACTAACTCCCACCTCATGAGAAGTGCCGGGTCCAGTAAGTTGCAAGTTCTAGAAACGGCAATATTAGAAAAGTTCAGACGGGGAGGAGCAAAGCTACCTGGAAACTCAACATTCGGACTAATTCGGTGCACATAGCGTACCCAGAACCGACGCGCAGTAACTACAGTGAGGCCATTACTCAATGTACAATATTGCGCGAGAAAACGCACCTCGATTAGCTCCTACAGATTCATCCGCAGCTAAAACGATTATTACGATTATATTCCAGATTGCAAGACTGACTATTATTTCAAACGGCCTTCAGTAACCTGTGATAAATCCGTACATGCAAACATTCTTCCTCATACATGACTCAAGCGCTAACTGCCGTTGTATCCTTTTTCGAAGGGTACTTCTGCGCCATATAAGTCAGATCGCCCTTCACAACGTACCCAATATGGCTCAGTGCGAGCAGTTCTTTCATCTGCGGGCTAAGTGTCTCTTGAAGCTCCTTTGGCAGCTTGGCTGACCAGTTCGTCAGAGGTCGCATGTGAGGCGCAGAGTAATAGGCAAAAAGAATAGCTCGATCCTCGTCCGTGGTGACGTTGGAACCAGAGGTGTGCCAGAGGCGCCCATCAATCACAACAATGTCGCCCGCATCAGCTTCAAACGGGACCAGCAGATCCGGCGCGTTATCGGGCACATCGTCCCAGGTGGTCCACTTGTTTGATCCCGGGATATACAAGGTTGCACCATTCTCCTTGGTCATCCTCGTCAGGCACCAAATCACGTTGACTGCCCAGACATCCAACCACGGCGCTGGAAGGACGATGCTCTGGTCCGAGTGTAGAGCCATGCTCTCCGCGCCAGGGCGAGCAATGTTGGCAGAGAAGTTGCTGACCAGCACCTGTTCGCCTAGCACGGACTTGGCCAAGTCCAGCCCGGTCGGGTTGATGAGCATGTCTCGCCAGTATGCGTCCAACTCGGGGAGATAGAAGACGCGCACGTTCGCAGGGTTAGGATCCAAGATGGGCTGGAAAGTGCCTTCGCCACGAGCCTCAGTGGCAGCTTTCGCCTGCCAGAGACGATCGAGTGCATCTTTCGCTTCTTCCTTGGACAAGATCGCAGGGATCTTGACCCAGCCATGCTCTTTCAGATGAGCCTTGGCATCTTCCATGTTTAGCGTCATGGTCTCGAAGAGGGTCCTTTGATTGTTGGTGGTTTATGGTGCATTCTCGCTCTTGAGCCTTAGGGACACCCACTGACTAGCTAATAGTGCCTTCGTGTCTACTGAGGTTGTCGGCAAGTTCCATGTAGTGTTCGGTAAATTCGGTCAGTCACGAAAGGAAACAGGACCGAAGACCTCCGAAGACGTAGCTCTAGAATATTACTGACGCCTCTGTCGAGTAAGAAGATTTTGGAGGGGACAGTTGATTTGATTTGCATTAATAACTGTTTTAGAAACAAGTGTTGTCACGAGGCTTTTTATAGCTCTCACCGCAATAGTACCGGAACTTAGTACTTGAGTAGGTAATTAGTATATACTTAGGAACAGGGGTAGAAAGTCGTACTAAGGGCGTTCGTCATCACTCTCTTATGACTGCATTACTCTGTAGGCAGCAATGTATCAGCCCTGAGGACACAAATATTCTTCGTCACGTCTTGTGAATGCTAATTTCTCTCCAACCCATCATCACAAGCACAAAACTTGACAATGGATCAGTCTATGAAGCCCCTTCTCCCACCCACAGAACAACCACGTCGACATCTGTCGGCTTCTACTGTCTCCGTAAGCCCCTCAATGAATGGCCGAGAATCAGGATCTGGAAGTGAACTGCTAACGCCATCATCAACAGTTCGTTTTCCCAAATCAATTCAGTCTCAGCACGCTTCTCTGCATCGGTGCTCTTATGCAGATCATCCTCTGCGCCATCCTCCCCCTCCGCTACGCCGCCGTCCCATGTATAACTGTCCTCCTCCTATCCATCCTCACCACGATCCAAAATTGCTTCCAGCCGAAAACGAATCCTTTCATGACCGATGTCGTTCCCGGACGGACTACGGCGCAGATCCCAGGCAAAGATGGAAAGTACGGCCCTGAGCCAGGGAAGGGCTCCGTGGTCGTGTTCCACCTGGGATTACAATACAATCACCCCCTGGGGGTTTTTGCACCGCACATGCTCGAAATCTCGAACAAGTTTCTCGCCCTGCAACAGGATATACTCCGCCGTAAGGACGAGCTCGGCCTGCTGGCGGTTCAGAATTGGCGAGGCAGCGAGCGCAGCTCCAACAACACCACGCTGATCAAGTATTTCTTCAAAGACGTCGAAAGTATCCATAAATTTGCCCACGAACCGCTACATAAGGAGATTTGGGCGTACTATAACCAGCATCAACCCGGCCATGTGGGTATCTTCCATGAGACATTTATCACGACAGATGGCGGATATGAGAGCATGTATGTAAATTGCCATCCAATTCTGCTTGGAAGAGGCGAGGTCAAGGTCAATAGTCGCAAAGACAGCAGAGAGAACTGGATGGGGACACTGGTCAGTGCGGATACACCGGGGTTGAAGTCTTTTAAAGCAAGATTGGGTAAAGATAATTGAAGCTCGAGGGAAAGCCCTCTTCCAATGACAAAAGTTGCGCCGCTTCGGATGCACGAGTTACGTAGATCTGACAGGCGAATGACCCCCATCCAGTAGCTCCTTCAACCGGTCTCCACTCGTCTATATCCTTAGTTTTTTATTTCTCCATTTGCATCTCCATTTGCCTTTCCGTTAGCGTTTCCGTTGGCAATATCTGGTATGGGGATGGGTCCGCCTGGAGAGTTCTCCAGTCTCGCCGTCAAAACCTCGACGCCTGTTTCCGTAACAAGCAGGGTATGTTCTATCAATATCCAAATTAGTATCTAGAGCCTTCAACTGGCTTCGGAAATGTCTATACGCACCGAACTGTGCGGTCCGCTTGCCGTCCACGGTAACGTTTGTCCAGTCATCTGGCCAATACTTTTCTCGGTTGCCGCCCAAAGCCAGGATCGGTTCAATCGTAAATGTCATCCCAGGTTTGCATGTTCCCACAGCCTTGTTCTTCCCGTAGTGGGGGATCCAAGGAGGAGGGTGGAATTCCGAGTTGATACCGTGGCCGCCCCAAGTCTTGATGACGACAAGGCCCCTCGAGACTGCGTGCTTCTCGATGATCTTGCCAAACTCTCGAATCGGGACACCTGGTTTGACGATCTCAATAGCCATGTCCAAGGCCTCTCGCGTCGTTTCAACGAGTCTGATCGAGTCCGGATCCGCTTTGGCCTTGTCACCAACGTAGTAGGTCTCGTTCAAGTCGGCATGATATCCGCCGTGGTAGAGAGAAACGTCGAGGTTGAGTATGTCGCCATCAAGAAGAACTCTGTGATCAGGAATGCCGTGGCATACCACCTCATTGACAGATGTACATATCGACTTGGGAAAGTGATTGTAGTTGAGTGGAGAAGGATATGACTACCTCCCGGTTTAGCAACCAAACTTGACATGTTTCACCCAGGCGTGCACGTCACTTACATCTCGCTCGATGCAAGCATTGTGGCAGATTTCATCCAAGTAGTCTGTGGTCACCCCGGGCTTCACCGCCGCGGCAGTGATGTCGAGTACTTCGCGAGCCAGCCTGCACACTTTGCGCATGGCCTGCTGACCCTTTGCATCCAAGAGGTCCCATTTTGACCTGCTCAGGCGCATCTCCCGCCTTGGAATGCCCGTCTCGGCCCAGTCGGGTCGTTTGATTGATTTGGGGACCGATCGTCGCGGGGAGAGTGGATATACGGGCCTGACCGAGCCGGTGAATGGGTACGTCGGAAAGGGGTTGAAAAGTCCGCTAGCTGTAGCGCGGTTAGCGAACCAGTCTTTTGAGTTGTGTGCCGCCCGGGAGTGGGCGGTTACCATTTTGTGTTTTGTGCATCGCCGCCTTGTGTGTGGTCTGGATTATAATCAATTTTAGTTGCTCTGGAATAAGGCGTCCGCGCGGATGCGACCTACCCAATTCTTCTTGAAGCAGTCTTGAGAGCAGAAGTAACTGCCTTTGACGCCGAGCTTCAGACACGTCGGACATTGTAAGGTCCCCGCTTCATTGTCACAATCGGTTCCGCAGCACTTTTTCTTGGGATCGGAATCGGACATTGCGGCGGCGATCACGACTGTATACTCTGAAAAGTCGAGGGAAAAGATAAGAAGACCTCTTACTATCAGAGTGAATTTCACGCGATGATGAGCGATGACAGTGAAGAAGGAGAGGTTGTTGTGAGAGTGAGATGGTGGTGAAATGTAAGTTGTCTGGTTACCGCCCATTACGAACCTAACAAGGTCAGATCCACTTCACGTGACCATCAACGACCTGACCCGAATTTGGACTATTTACATCGCATCTTACATAAGCGGATCTGATTCGAAGCGATCGAAAGACGCCAAAGAAGGCGGTCAGGTGCACAACTAGTGTAGTCCCTAAATGTGGCTAAAGTGTAAAGTGAAATGCATGAGAGCAATTGTGGGATAGCCCATTACTAGGCAGGTACTAGCAGCATACACGTCACGCCACATTTACTACTAAGTTTCGGGTAACCAAAGGTGGGGCAGCCTACCCACATAAAATAAATATAAACACCAGTTGGGTTTAATTCCAATGATTATTTCATGTTCCATACTGTGTAGTAATTATTTTCAAATCTTACATATCTAGCCTTACTAACTAGTTACCTGCAAGTGGTTGAAAAGGGTTGTCGCTTAATACTTTCAAGTATCTCAAAGTGAACCGACATCAATCAATATCACAAGATATGGATGGTGTATTGAACTTATGGACTAGTTCAGCCCGGTTTGAAATCAGAAATAGGCAAAAGACATCACACATACCAGGCGCTGGTAGGATACGTGTGATTCAGTACAGGACAATACAGAGTACATACATGTATCGCTTAACCAAGACAGGAGGCAATCCATCGTAGCG